CAGGTAACGACGGTTACAGGTTTGAGGATGGCCGCCTCGGATTGGTAACATGAGTTGCGGGCCCAATAGGGAGGGTGCTCCCGCTCGAGACTTCTTCGCTATTCACTCACAGACGAGGCTCCCGCTCAGGACTTCGTGATGACGAGGATGATGGTGACGATAATGGTGATGATGCTGATGATGCTGATGCTGATGATGGCGATGATGACGACTGTGATAATAGAGTTGGTGATGTTGATGTTGGTGATGATGCTGCTGGTGATACTTATGTAAATGATGGTCACGATGATGCTGTTCATGATGCCAATCATGATGATTGGTAGAAAGATGATGGTGTTGATGATGACGATGACGATGGTGATGCAGATGATGATGATGATGATGATTATGATGATGATGATGATGATGATGATGATGATGATGATGTTGAAGCATATGATCATGATGAAGCATATGATGATGATGAATGCGATGGTGATGATGGTGGTAGTGAGGATGCTGCTGATAGTGAGGCTGATGAGTTGGATATGAATGATGATGGTGATGCTGTGAATTATTATGATGATGATGATGATGATGATGATGATGAGGATGATGATGACGATGGCGATGTCGATGATGGTGATGATGGTGAGGATGGTGATGATGATCATGATGATATGGTGGTAATGCTGATGACGATGACGATGTCGACGACGACGACGACGTGTATGATGACGATGATGTTTGGTGTGGTGTGGTGACGATACTGGTGATGGTGATGGTGATGATGATGGTGAAGATGAAGATGATGGTGATGATGGTGATGGTGATGCGGCTGATGATGGTGATGTGTGTCTTCCTCTGTTGGTTCCTGCGCGGGATGTCCAGAGAACACATAAGCCCGACTCAGGATGAGGGGAAACAGACACAGACAAGCAGATAAGGAGCGAGAGGGGGAGAGGGGGAGGGAGACGGGGAGAGGGAAGAAGACACAGAACATGGGACGAGTAAACAAGTGTGTAACCCTCGGGTTGATCCAAAAGGGGGTCCAGCGACAAGGGGGTGGTGCAATAGGTTTGGTGTAATAGATTTGTGGGGTTGCAATACATTTGGGGCGTGCAATACATTTCGGGGCGCGGGGTCCGATCAGCGTGCTTCCAGTATTAGGTCGGACCTGTCCCCCTACAGGCGGATTTTGGACGACAAGTGAAAAATAGTCGACAAATACTCGCAAACTATCAAAGATACAACAAAAAAACGTCCCCGGACTATTTTTGGACTCGTAATTCCAGTACGTGGCCGCCGCCCGCACTCTTGCCGCGCGCAGGCCGATTGCCGTCCAGAGCCCGTCTGCTACTGCACAGAGTGTCGTTGCGTGATGCCCGACCCCCGACTCAGCCCCTGGGTCGGTTCTGGAAGTCGCCGTTGCGGTCGCGGCGGCCACAAAAAAGGGTAAGGTGTTCGTCAAGATGTGGCATGCCTCCTTCACGAGTGTCGTTGCGTGATGCCCGACCCCGGACTCAGCCCCTGGGTCGGTTCTGGAGGTCGCCGCGGCGGTCGCGGCGGCCACAAACACGGGTAAGGTGTTCGTCAAGATGTGGCATGCCTCCTTCACGAGTGTCGTTGCGTGATGCCCGACCCCGGACTCAGCCCCTGGGTCGGTTCTGGAGGTCGCCGCGGCGGTCGCGGCGGCCACAAACAGGGGTAAGGTGTTCGTCAAGATGTGGCACGCCTCCTGCACGAGTGTCGTTGCGTGATGCCCGAGACTCAGCCCTGGGTCGGTTCTGGAGGTCGCCGCGGCGGTCGCGGCCGCAAAAAAGGGTAAGGTGTTCGTCAAGATGTGGCATGCCTCCTGCACGAGTGTCGTTGCGTGATGCCCGACCCCGGACTCAGCCCCTGGGTCGGTTCTGGAGGTCGCCGCGGCGGTCGCGGCGGCCGCAAAAAAGGGTAAGGTGTTCGTCAAGATGTGACATGCCTCCTGCACAAGTGTCGTTGCGTGATGCCCGACCCCGGACTCAGCCCCTGGGTCGGTTCTGGCGGTCGCCGCGGCGGTCGCGGCGGCCGCAAAAAAGGGTAAGGTGTTCGTCAAGATGTGGCCTGACTCCTTCACGAATGTCGTTGCGTGATGCCCGAACCCGGACTCAGCCCCTGGGTCGGCTCTAGAGGTCGCCGCGGCGGTCGCGGCGGCCACAAACAGGGGTAAGGTGTTCGTCAAGATGTGGCATGCCTCCTGCACGAGTGTCGTTGCGTGATGCCCGACCCCGGACTCTGCCCCTGGGTCGGTTCTGGAGGTCGCCGCGGCGGTCGCGGCGGCCGCAAAAAAGGGTAAGGTGTTCGTCAAGATGTGGCATGCCTCCTTCACGAATGTCGTTGCGTGATGCCCGAACCCCGACTCAGCCCTTGGGTCGGTTCTGGAGGTCGCCGCGACGGTCGCGGCGGCCACAAAAAAGGGTAAGGTGTTCGTCAAGATGTGGCATGCCTCCTGAACGAGTGTCGTTGCGTGATGCCCGACCCCGGACTCTGCCCCTGGGTCGGTTCTGGAGGTCGCCGCGGCGGTCGCGGCGGCCACAAAAAAGGGTAAGGTGCTTGTCAAGATGTGGCATGCCTCCTTCACGAGTGTCGTTGCGTGATGCCCGACCCCGGACTCAGCCCCTGGGTCGGTTCTGGAGGTCGCCGCGGCGGTCGCGGCGGCCGCAAAAAAGGGTAAGGTGTTCGTCAAGATGTGGCATGCCTCCTTCACGAAAGTCGTTGCGTGATGCACGAACCCGGACTCAGCCCCTGGGTCGGTTCTGGAGGTCGCCGCGGCGGTCGCGGCGGCCACAAACAGGGTAAGGTGTTCGTCAAGATGTGGCATGCCTCCTGCACGAGTGTCGTTGCGTGATGCCCGACCCCGGACTCAGCCCCTGGGTCGGTTCTGGAGGTCGCCGCGGCGGTCGCGGCGGCCGCAAAAACCGGTAAGGTGTTCGTCAAGATGTGGCATGCCTCCTGCACAAAAGTCGTTGCGTGATGCCCGACCCCGGACTCAGCCCCTGGGTCGGTTCTGAAGGTCGCCGCGGCGGTCGCGGCGGCCGCAAAAAAGGGTAAGGTGTTCGTCAAGATGTGGCATGCCTCCTGCACAAGTGTCGTTGCGTGATGCCCGAACCCGGACTATGCCCCTGGGTCGGTTCTGGAGGTCGCCGCGGCGGTCGCGGCGGCCACAAAAAAGTGTGAGGTGATCGTCAAAATGTGGCATGCCTCCTTCACGAGTGTCGTTGCGTGATGCCCGAAACCGGACTCTGCCCCTGGGTCGGTTCTGGAGGTCGCCGCGGCGGTCGCGGCGGCCACAAAGAAAGGATAAGCTGTTCGTCAAGATGTGGCATGTCTCCTGCACGAATGTCGTTGCGTGATGCCCGTCCCAGGACTCTGTCCCTGGGTCGGTTCTGGAGGTCGCCGCGGCGGTCGCGGCGGCCACAAAGAACACTCGACCAAGATAGTACGGATGCGAGGTAAAGATGCAAGGGCCTTGGAACGCCATGTTGACGTTTTCCGTGCGGAGCGCGGCAAAACGCCGAAGGATGCCGAATGCCGAATGGGCAAGGGTGCAAGGGTAGCCTTGGCAAGTTGCCCCGTCCTTGCTATCATGGTTGACTGTAAGGTGTTCGTCGAGATGTGGCATGCCCCCCCCCCTAGCCTCCACTCCTCCTCCTCCTCCTCCTCCTCCTCCTCTTCCGCTTCCGCTTCCTCCTCCTCCGCTCTGAGAGGCCGGCGTGGCTCCACGTGGGCAGTGCAGCGGACGGTGGCCACCTGGGCTTGCCCATGCCACCGAGCCGTGCCTGCAAGCCCTGCCGAGGAGGCGGAGCCGGCGGCTCCTACATCTCGACGGGTCGAGATTCGGGGCTGGTGCTTACTCCAGATTTCGTAATAAAGGGAGGGGGGTCTCATTTCGGGGGGGGTCTCTTCCAGGCTATCTTGGAGGGCCTGGGGGTGTCTGGGGACGGAGTTTTGGAGGGTTCTCCCACGGGGGAGGTCTGAAATGGCTTGTCTTGGAGGGTCCAGACCCCCTCCCTTTTATATTACGAAATCTGGAGTACGCATGCTTCCGGATGGGATTGGTGCTTACGCAGTCCTCCCCCTCCTCCTCGTTCTAGGCAAGCTGTGTTGGCGCTCCGCGAGGGGCTCTGGGGAGGGAACGGTTGGGAGCAACGCGAGCCGATCTTCGCGACCTGGGCGCTGAAAGAATTTCATCCACCAGTTCCGGGAACTTGAGATATCATTTTCAGCCGCTGCGCAGTCGAGGCCAACGCGATAATATGAAAGAGATGCCTGCTGCGGAGACTTACACCTCGTTAGCAATCGTGGCTTCGGCTGTCCAAGCACGGGTTTCAATTTGTTTCGAAGGCAAAGCGGCCTTGGGCTTGGGCTGCACCTGCTAAAGGGTGATCGCTACCGCAATCATCGATATGTTGATCGAGGGTGCATCCTCGTCCCTGCCTCCTCGTGAGTGTTTTTCTTTTTCTTCTTCTTCTTCGGCGTTTCGACATTGGGCGGAAGGGGGGAGGGATGGGGGTCTGGCTCCAGACCTCTGCTTAATGCGACTGCTTGCAACAGTGCGTCCCATGGGGAGACTCCACCTGCTCGAAACAGGCGCCAAAAACAGCCAAGAACTACTCCATGCGGGGGGGGGAGGGCCCGCGCCGATCGGCAAAGCAATGAATCTGAAAACGATCACCTCCCTCTTTTCCTGCTGTTTCATCCTTCTCCCCCTTGCGCCACGCGGGTCCCTTTGCTGCAGGGTGCTACGTGGTCGGGAGCCGAAGCAGCCCCCCAACACCCCAAGCACGGCCCACCGCTCAACGGCGGCCGCCCCCGAGGAGGAGGGGGTGCGCCAGCCGGGGCCTATACCCAGAATGCCCTGTCACCGCCCTGTACCATACCCATCACGTCACATTTTCCTGTTTCCTCCTTTCCCCTCCGTTCTCTCCCTGCCTCCATCACTCCTCTCAAAACCCCGCCCTCCGCCTTCGAGAAGCCGGGGTGTCCTGAGACCCCCCGCAGCGCTCCGACTCCGCCAGCGGGCGGCAGCGGACCACGACGTTGATACGGCTGGACGAGGAGCTCGAAGAGCCCTCGCCCTGGCGCGCGGCTGAGGCTGGACCGAAACCGCCGCATGCCCCCGTCAATCTGATGGCGACATCAACTGTCTGCGACAACAGCGGTCTGCAACCGTTCGGCGGACGGTGGCGCGATGACAGTGGCGACTGCGGTGGTGGCAATTTTTGGTGGCGTTGCTTTGCACGCGCTGTGAAGACCCGCAGGCCTGGCACCTGCGCAGGGATGTAATACCTGTCCAATCAAAACTCGACCGATGGAAAACTGCCACTGACAGCCCTCGGCTACTTCGCGACCCACCTCCAGAACTAAGGAACGCGCTTTTCCAAGCCAGGGCACCAGGGAGACAATTTCGCCAAGAAGCAGATGACAATATGTGACCTAGTATTTCTTGACGTTAGGTGCTTCCCAGACTCTTGCTTTGGACTCGACTGGGCAGTTCGGTTGCCCGATGGTTACCTTAAATGATCAAAGCCTGGAGATGCGCCCGCTTCCTGCATAGTGTGGGCGCTTCGAACAACACTTCTAGTCCAAATCGACCACTCCTGTGGCCCCGAGACCGCAGTAGGCTGATCTGCGCAGCACACCACTGCGCTGGGCCCCCCTGGAGCGCAGCAAGACTGCGCGACAGCTGCACGCATGACACCGCTCAAGCATGGCGAAGGACATTCAGTGCAGGCGCGGCCGCGAGAACCCCTCGCAAGAAACCCAGCCCTGACGACCCGCGCGAGAGGTGCGACTCGGGGGAAGCCCAGGGCACCCTGAACGCAGCAGCCTCTTCAACGGCCGCGGAAAGTCGCCGCGCAGCGCGAGGAGCGGAAAGAACCTAGGGTACCCTGACGAAAAGCAGATGGTGTCCTCATGCGCGCCCCCACTGCACTTTTAAGTCGGGCGTGTCCACCTGCAGGCGGATTTCGCGCGAAAAATAAAAAAAATACCCCAAAAGTGCTCTCAAATGGCCACAGGTAGTCAAAACATCGCCCCCAGACTATTATTGTTTTACTGCTTTTGACCGTCCCTCCTGTAGAGGGACAGGCCCGACTCAAATCGGGGCCTCCCAGCTGCGTGGGACACCACCCCGTTGGACCCCTCACGGGGCACAACAACGGGGAGCCAGCGGCGCGCCTGGCGGCACCTGGCCATGGCGCGGGACTACCCCGTGCTCTGCGCGGACCCCGCCACCGTGCCTCTGGGCACAGAGTGGGCGAGCCGTCGGGTCCTTTGCCTGCAGTCAAAACGTATAGTAAGGACGCGAGGTGGGGACGCAAGACCCTTGGAGGCCGAAGTTGGGCTTTTGAGGGCGGCGGGCGACCAGTGGTAAGCGCAAGAACGAGCCTCAGAGGCAAGGACACAAGGGTACCCTAGATGAAGGCGCGCGTCCTTACTAGGCGCGTTGACTGTAACCCCTGGAGTCTCAGTTCAGACGAAGCCAGGACGATGGTAAAATCGGGTACGGATAGCTCGAGAATCTCTGAGATCCCGCGGTTCTGGAGGATGTTTCGGGCGCCGCGGCCTTCTCAGAGCGTTCCGGAACGCTATGAGGGCGCTCCGAACACGCTTGAACGTCGCCTCGTCGTAGCCGCGTCCGATAACCCCTGGAGCCTCAGTCCTCAGTCCGAGGAGTCTTTCAGGGACCCTGACCTCGAACTCCAAAATTTGGCGGGACTTCCCGCGTGCCTTTTCGGGGCGCCAGAAGGCCTCAAGACGGGCCAGGAGGGCCCCAAGCGGCCTCCAAGACAGCCCTTGAGGGCCCCAAGTCGTCGAAAGATCGTACCAAGACCCGCAAAATGACCTCCAGACGGCGCAAGAGGCCTCCAAGACGCTCCAGGAGAGCTCCAAGAGGCCTCCCAAGAGAGCCCCAAGAGGCAAAACTACGCGATTGTTTACTTAAGTTTTGTCGGATTTGGGCGTTCTCGCCTTTTCGGCTTCGCTGCGCTCCCAGACGGCCCAAGAGGCCTCCAAGACGCCCTACGAGCGCCCCAAGACGGCCCAACAAGCGCCCACGACGGCCCAAGACGGCCCAAAAAGGGGTCCAAGAGAGGGAACGCAAACCAAAAATTCTAGCCGTCTGCCCCAAGAGGCCCCCAGGAGGCCCCAAGAGGCGCCCAGGAGGCCCCAAAGAGGCTCCCAAGAGGCCCCCAAGAGGCCCCAAGAGGCCCCAAGAGGCTCAAGAGGCCCCAAGAGGCCCCAAGAGGCCCCAGAACGGCCGACAAGAGGTCTCCAAATTGCCCCCAAGAGGCCCCCGAGAGGCCTCCCATGATATGCCATTGAACGTTCAATAGGCCGCATACCCACAACCCAGGCACGGTGGCGGGATGGGCCGAAGGCCATTAGATTTAGGTCGGGCATGTCCTCCTACAGGCGGATTCTGGACGAAACAGATCAAATGGTTTAAAAATAGGCCCCCCAAATGATCAACAATACAACTTATCCAAGCAAAGCAACCTAACAGCGATGTGTAAAAGCATATATGTGTGCACCATCATTTAGATTCAGATGGCGCTTTCATTAATTTTCAACTCGGGCTCCCATTGTAGACTTTTGCATCAAAGTCTGCAATCGACGGATGTGAGTTTAAACAAGCACTCGGTATCAACGAACGCAGTTTCAAATAAGACTCTGGTATCTACGTTCACTGCGTGCTCACGGAAGCGTTTGAAGTGGATGATGTGATGATGACCATGATTGTTTAAAATAAAGTTTATGTATCAATGAATGCTGCGTTTGACGGCTGCGTTCTTTCGAAGTGCTTTTTCGGACACGCACGAGGGGCACAAATGAGTGCAGCGTACGGAGCGAGAAAACGGGCAAAAGCTGCAAGCTAAGAAGCATCGCGGACACTCGCACGCACCGTGCCAACGCGGCCGAGCAGATCATTACCTTTGGAAGTAGTCTTCCAATGCTGCAGGCTGACAAGCACAGCGGGCATGGAGAGTTGGATTCATCGCCTCTCCTGTTCGTCTTCTCGAAGATCGCGCCAGTCTGGCGGCGATCACAAGCGAACAAGCGCGGCAACCCTGCCGGCTTAAAAGCACCACAGAGACTCAGAGACAGAGCCCCCCCTCCTCTTCCACCTCATCTTCCTCCACCTCCGCCCTCCTCTTCCTTTTCCCCCTTCTCCTCCTGCTCGTCCTCTCCCTTCTCTCCCCCCCCCTCCTCGTCCTCTTCAGCAGAGAAGCTGAACGCGGTCGTGCAGCGCATCACTTTTGGAACTAGATCACGCCGGTCCGGCGGCGAACAGAAGCGGAAAACGAAGCAAACCTGCAGGATTAGAAGCACCGCGCAGACTGGCAGACAGAGTCCCCCCTCCTCTTCCACCTCATCCTCCTTCGCCTCCGCCCTCCTCTTGCCCCTCCCCCTCCTCCTCCTGCTCGTCATCTCCCTCGTCTTCCTCCTCCTCCTCGCCCTGTCGGCACAGAGGCTGAAGGCGGCCGTGCAGCGCAGCACTTTTGGAACTAGATCGCGCCAGTCTGGCGACGAACAAAAGAGGAAAGCGAGGCAAGCCTGCAGGCTTAGAAGCACCACGGAGACTGGCAGACAGAGTCCCCCCTCCTCTTCCACCTCATCCTCGTCGGCCTCCGCCCTCCTCTTGCCCGTCCTCCTCCTCTTCCTCCTGCGCGCCCTCTCCCCTCGCTTCCTCCTCTCCCTCGTCTTCCTCAGCAGAGAAGCTGCGCGCGGCCGCGCAGGGAATCACTTTTGCAAGTAGCATTCCAACGCCGCAGGCTCAGAAGCACCGCGGGCAAGCAGGCCTGGATCCATCACCTTTCGTGCTCGTCTTCCAGGAAATCGCGCCAATCTGGAGGCTGCCAAGAATCGATGATGCGCCGGGATCCACCTCCGGTGCTGCCGCCGATGTCAAGGTAATCACCCTCTTTCGTGCGCAGACGACCATGTCCCAGCGCCACAATCGCCGCATTGCGGTTCTTGAGCAACTCGCCGCTCTCCCACTTCCGCAGTACATCCCATTGCCTGCGAGTGAAAGTGGCATCGCCTGCAGGCTGACAAGCGCCGCGACGCTGCACCTCTTGCCGATGGCGATAGAGCCGCTCACCTTCGTTGTAGCGCGCAATGGCCTCCGCCCTGTCACGATGGAGGCGGCGGCGCTCTTCCTGAGAGACCTGGTTGCGATCGGCGAGCTCTGCGGGTGCATCACTGGGCTCGACGTGCAAGGCTCGCTTGAGAATGTCAACGTCGAAGCGGCCGGAAAAGGCGAGGACCTCCCAGATCTGCTTCGTCCCGGAAACGCGTTGCAGATGCCGACACCATCGCTTACGCTTTTGCTCTCTGATGAACTTACGGAGGCTGCCAATGCCACGCCCCTTGCCCTTGCCTTTTCCCTTGCCTTTGCTCGCAGGCTGATCAGCGCCGCGTTCCTGCGGTGCTGACGTTTTTCCTTTCGCTTTCCCTTTTCTCGGCATCTCGGTTCTGCAGCTGAACCTGGAAGGCAGAACTTTCGCACTCTTCTCGAGCGCGTTTGACAAGTTCCCCGCGCTCCTCCTCAGCAAGGACATGGCGCGTGTTCGTAATGTTCTTGCTTCGGGGGAAGTCGTTGCGGATCCGCAGAACAGCCTGAATGGCCCGAGCAGTCTCTTCCTGCGACGCATAGGCTGCGTCGCAGTCATCGCCAGGCCGAGGAGCACCAGCGTCTGCCCTCTTCATGAAAAAGCAGAAGGCTGAGCTGATGGAGAAGTTTGGGATCGTAGCTCTCCTCGCACAGCTGCCCCCAGTACTCCCTCATCTCACGATGCACTTCCTGCGCGCGCTGATGAACTTCATCGTCAAGCTCGTTGCGCTGCGGCGAAGGCGAGCGGCTCGGCATGGGTTGCCATTCTGGCGAAGGAGAACGGCTTGGCAAGGGTTCCCAGTCGACTTCAGTTTCGGCTTTGTCTGAAGCAGTATCGGAGACGACGAAATCTCCTAAGGCAATCTTCCGCTTCTTTGTCTCCTTAGGCTGAGAAGCACCAGGGAGAGCAATGGTGATTGCAACAGCATCGTGGGAATCGTTGCGCATGCCACGGTCCTG